ATGTAAAGTTTGGGGAGAAAAAGAGCACCCGGAAATTTCATGTTAGAGGCAAGGTGTGTGCTTAAAAGATCAAGGTGAGGCCTGACCTTCACTGTTATAAAAAGAGGGAAGTGCCCTCAGGACAAGGCTCCACCCAGATACTCCAAAAATGTGTGAAAGCAAAAAGCCTAAGAAATATTACACCCTTGAAGAGCAATAACTAAGAAAAGCTTCTGCAGATATGACTCAAGGGCCAGGCTCCAGTCCCAAGTAGGAGGCCAGATTTGGCGGTGCTGTCCACATGGTTCTGGTTTTAGTCATGAAAGAGACCTGAGTAAAGGGGTTGTGGGGTTTTCATCTGATGTCAAGGAGAGTCACTGAGGCCAGGTGTGTAGCAGAATCCCTGCATGGAGACCCTGAGAGGCCACTGGAAGAAATTGTGAAAGTGAAGCCTGTATTGTACAGGGTGCATCAAGATGTTAGATCAGCCAGAGTCATGGGCTGCATACAGGGAGTGGAACCAGTCCGAGAGAGAGAGAGAGAGAGAGAGAGAGAGAGAGAGAGAGAGAGAGATGTCTTACAGGCAGCAAGCTGGAAGTGTGCAGCCATCTAAACCCTTCGACATCAGACAGGATTCGGAGTTGGCACTACGAGGTTTTGGTCTTTCTTCATTTTGGTATTTCTTCATTATGCTCCAATCCCTCCCCTTTGGAATCACATTACATATTCTGTGCCATTGTATGTTGGAAGTATGTAGTTTGCCTTTTGCTTTTCATAGGGAGTTGCAATTAAGCGATTGCCTTGAGATTCAGAAAAGATTTGGACTTTTAAACTGTCAAGACTGTGAGAGACTATGGAGACTTTTGGAGTAAATGCATTTTGCATTATGACATGCCACTAGCCTACGGGGACCAGGAAGTGGAATATGGTGGTTTGGATGAGAATGGCTCCTACAGGCTCACATTTGAATACGTGGTCCCCAAGTTTGGGAAGAATTGGGATGTGTGGCCTTGTTGGAGGAAGTGTGTCACTGGGGGCGGGCTTTAAGGTTTCAAAAATTCATGGCATTCCAATATTCTTTCTGCCTCCTACTTGGGGATCAAGATGTGAGCTCTCTGGCCCTGCCCCAGTAGAAGCCACAAGGTGGGCGTGGGAGAACTAGCCCAGCCTGTCGCGGGAGAGCTGGCCCTGCCCTGCTCTGGCCACCACGTGGCTTTCCTTAGATGACGGCTTCTGGTGTGGATACAGGTGGATAAAGACTCATCCTTGTAGGCGTAAGTTTTCTCGGCTTCCGCCTGGCCCAACAGTCCCACAGCTGCTTATAAAATAATCACTCAGCCAGTCAGCGGTGGCGCATGCCTTTAATCCTAGCACTTGGGAGGCAGAACCAGTCGGATCTCTGTGAGTTCGAGGCCAGCCTGGTCTACAGAGCGAGATCCAGGACAGACACCAAAATTACACAGAGAAACCCTGTCTTGAAAAACAAAAATAAACAAACAAAAAAAATCACTCAGAGGTTTAATACTATTTACAAACTGTATGACCTATGGCAAGCTTCTTGCTAGCTAGCTCTTATAGCTTGACTCAACCTGTAACTATTAATCTATGTATCACCACGTGTTCCATGGCTTTACCTGAGTCCCATTACATGTTGTTCCTTGGACAGCAGTTTGATGTCTCCTCGCCTCTGCCTTTCTTCTTCTTCCTGTCTCTTTCTTAGATTTCCTGCCTGGCTATAACCTGACTTGCCATAGGCCAGGGCAGCTTCTTTATTTATTAGCCAATAGGAGCAACACGTATTCACAGCATACAGAAAGACATCCCACAGCACATCCTCCCTTAGGGGGCTGGCCACTAGGAATTTGGTCATGCTCTATTGAATATATGGACAACAAAAAATAGACTTGCTTTTTCTTTTTTTGGGGAGTGGGAAAGTCACGGGGTGGGAGCAGACATGGGAAGACTGGGAAGTGAGAATGATCAGGGCACATGATGTGCGGTTCCCAAATAATCAATAAAAATATAATTTAAAAAAAGATGGCTGGGCAGTGGTGCCACACACCTTTAATCCCAGCACTCAGGAGTCAGAGGCAGGAGGATCTCTGAGTTTGAGGCTAGCCTGGTCAATATAGTGAGTTCCAGGATAGCCAGGGCTACACAGAGAAACCCTGTCTCAGAAAAATTGTGAGCTCTCAGCTGTTCTTGCTCCCATGTGTTTGCTCTGTCATCACAGACTCTAACACTCTGAAACCATAAGGCCAATTAAACACTTTCTTGGTCATGGTATTCTGTCACAGCAATAGAAAAGAACTACTACACCAAAGCAGGGACTCAAGCAGGATAAGAACCTGGAGGCGGAGCTGATGCAGAGGCTATGGAGAAGGCTGCTTACTCGCTTGCTCCCCATGGCTTGCTCAGACTGCTTGCTTGTATACCAGGACCACTGTCCATGGATGGCACCACCCACAGTGAGCTGGGCCCTCCTATATCAATCATCAATCAAAAAACTGCACCATAGGCTTGCTCACAGACCAGTTTGGTCGGGCCCTTTTCCAGAGGTTCCCTCGTCTCAAAGCTTGTGTTGTTGACATAAACTAACCAGCGCACAGTTCCAGCTTGATTTCTCTGTGTCTTTCAAAGCGTCTGTTTCTTCAGCAATGGGTCTTTACCATCTAGTTATGGCGGTCAGTCAAGAGCAAAGCAATACACTATGTTGTTCTGAGAGCCTCTAGGGCCTCCATAGGAAGACAGCCCACACCAGGCACCGAGAATTCATTTAATAACTCAGGTCTTCTAGGGTAACATTGTCCACCCATTCAGGGCATCACCATTCAAACACATTGTGTGTGTGTGTGTGTGTGTGTGTGTGTGTGTGTGTGTACATATATTTATAAACACACACACATATATATTAAAATAGGCATGGTGATGTATAACTTTAATCCCAGCACTCAGGAGGCAGAGGCAGGTGCGTCTCTGTGAGTTCCAAACCAGCCTGGTCTACATAATAAGTGCCAGGACAGCCAGAGCTACTGTCTCAAAATAAAATGAGTAATAGAAATAAATAAAACCACGTACTTTAAAACTGGCTTACAGATTATGACTCTCCCTGAGGCTTCTCCATCCATCCTTAGTTTTGGATTGCCTTACCATCCACCCCACTCAGACTCTTAATCCCCAGTAATCCCCATTTTCATGTGTTCTATTAGTCCTTCCTCCCTAAAGACCTCTTCCCCTCTCCCTCTCATGGGCCCTTTTTAGCTTCTTGACCTTTACAGACACTCTCATTCAGACACACAAATGTAAAAATTTGAAGACAGGACCTGTATATGTGAGAGAGCATGAGGTATTTGTCTGGGCCTGAATCACCTCATTCAATGTTAGCACTGCTAACCACCACACACTTCCTAGGAATCTCTTACCACTGACTCCTAGGCACAGAGTCTGGAGGCAGATGTCAAGCCAGCATGCTACAGAGACTAACACCATGCTAGTTCACTAAAATCCACCTTCCCTTACTCACAGTTTTTAATATTCTTCATTGTTGTATTTAGGGAGTGAACTATTTTTTCTTTTGTTTGAACAGGATCTCTGGACACAACCCAGGTTGGTCTTGAACTCTCAACCCTCCTGCTTTTGCGGCACAGTGATTATAGGTATGCGCCACTACACTCACCTTTTACATTTTAGAAGAGGTCATCATTCTTGTGACTTTTTGTTCCAGTTGTAACTTTTGAAAATCAACTATCAGTTAAACTAAATGCTCTGAATTGTCTCCATGGCCTTTTCTTGCTTGCTTGGAATTTTGTTCAGATTTGGGGATGGCTTTGAGGTCCCCTTGGTTAAATTATAGTCTCGATTTCCTTTTTGTTTACAGTTACGGTAGAGAGAGATTCTGCTTGAGTTAGAGTGGATGGCAGGACAGGCACTTGATAGCATTACACTTCTCCTCCCTGGTCCTCAATCATGTACCAGTCAGGCACTACCTCATATGAGGTACTACAAATATGATATGCTTAACCCCAAATCAGCTCAGCTATGGCTTGGGCCAGTATGGTTGAACTCTGCAGTCTGCCCGTGGCTCCACTAGGGCTAGACACTCAAAGAAGGCCTAGTTCAGACATCTAATAAAGCGTTCAGTCCAGCACTGAGGGAAGTCAGGGCAGGAACTAAGCAGGACTGAAGCAGAGACCACAGAGAAATGCTTACTAGCTTGTTCAATTTGCATTTTAATACAACCCAGCACCATGGGGCCAGGGGTGGCATGACCCACATTGGGCAGAGTCCTCTCATATCAATAATTAATGATGAAAATGCCCTGCAACATTACATACAGGCCAATCTGATGAAGGGATGACTCCAGCTTATGTCAAATTGACAAAAACTGGCCCAGACATGCACACCACGCTGGGCTGTAGACTGAACAGTGTATGCCAGGCAAACATTCCATCAACTGAGTTACACCCCAGTCCAGTATCTTTATTTTTAAATTTTTATATTAGTCTTTGATTCTTTGGATTATCCTAATATAAGGCATGAAATATGAATTTAGCATCAAATGCTATATAATTTCTCTTTCTGCCACTGGCTTCAAGGTCTAATTTTTTTTCATAAATTAAACATATTAACATTTGGAGACAGGTCAGTAGGAGCTGCTCAGGAATGGAGGCAAAGCCCTAGAGAAGAAGCAAGTAGAGAAACTGGAACAGCAGAAGCTGTCCACTAACCTAGTTGGTGAGAACTGTCATGGTTGCCTATGGGGAATACTGAAGGATTTCTCTCTCTCTCTCTCTCTCTCTCTCTCTCTCTCTCTCTCTCTCTCTGTAGATGCCAGGTGTCAGATCCCCTGGAACTGGACTTATGGATGGTTTTGAGTCACCATATAGGTGCTGAAAATCAAACCCAGGTCTTCTGCAAGAGCAACAAGTGCTCTAAACCACGAAGCCATCTCTCCAGCCCCTCCCTGATTTTTGAAAGATTCTTAACTGCCAGGTACACAGTAAATAACAGGTAACACAAAATGCTTTTTCATATGAAAACTGTATTTAGGCCAAAAAATTTAAATGCATGACCAAAAACTGTTATTTTATCGGGAAGGATATTATTATCTCCTCTAAGAACAGCCATTTACTTCTTGGGAAAAGGATGTCTACTTGGCTCTAGTCACAGCTCCATCATTTCTACTTTCTTGGTAAGTTCAGCTTCAATGGCATCCTGGAGAAAGGAAATAAATAAGCCATAGATGAAGACACAAAAGAAATGCTATCAACTTCTACTGGTATTTAAAAAAGAGAAGTAGAAAAGGAAAGCATTACAACCAATTTTATTTTATTTATTTATTTTTTGTGGGACTAGGAAACAAATTGAGAAACTTATGAATGCTAGCTAGTCAAGCCCTCTACTACTGAACTACAATGCCATCCTTTTGTGTGTGTGTGTGTGCGCGCGCGTGCATGCACGTCTGTGCGCACTGAGTATCTGAGGAACATACATATAGTCAAGTCTACTGCTAAGTTACATTGCCAGCCCTTGTGTGTGCATATGTGTGTGTGTGTGTTACACGTGTGTGTGCACTGAGTGTCTGAGGAACGTGTGTATACTAGTCAAGTCTACTGCTAAGCTACATTGCCAGCCCTTGTGTGTGCATGTGTTAGTGTATGTAGTTTTGTTTGTGTAGTTTTGAGAGAGAGTCTGGCCATGTAGCTTTAGCTAATGTCAAACTTGAAGTCATCGTCCTGCCTTGGTCTTCTGACTACCAAAATTTTTAAAAATACTATTAGGAATGTCAACTGTGCCTTTGGATATTCACTTGCTTTTATATCAACCCACCCTCACCCCTCCAAGCCCTGCCCCAAGTTCTCGAACTCCAACTGATTCTAATAAACACCTGAAGGGACTATACCCTTAGAAAGCCATAGTGGCACATTGATGGGTGATATCATTCTGTATGCTGTAAAAATGTGTTGCTCTGATTGGTTGATAAATAAAGCTGTTTGGTGGGTAGTGGTGGCACAGACCTTTAATCCCAGCACTCGGGAGGCAGAGCCAGACAGATCTCTTTGAGTTCGAGACCAGCCTGGTCTACAGAGTAAGTTCCAGGAAAGGTGCAAAGCTACACAGAGAAACCCTGTCTCGAAAACAACAACAAAAAACAAACAAAAAAAAAAGCTGTTTGGCCAATGGTGAGGCAGAATAAGGTTAAGAGGGACATTCTAACTGGAGAGATAGGAGAGAAGAAAAGAGAGCAGAGGAGACGCTGCTAGCCACTGCCAGGTGAAGCAAGATGTAAAGATACTAGTAAGCCACGAGCCACATAGCAAAGTATAGATTTATAGAAATGGGTTAATTTAAGATGCAAGAGCTAGCTAGCAAGAAGCCTGCCATGGCCATAGTTTAAAACTGATATAAGCCTGTGTGTGTTCATTGGGTCCCAGGGGCTGCAGGACCTGAGAAAACTTACAACTACGGCACATGGGTAGACTTTTAGGTCTGTGCCCCACAATGCTGCACACAGTCTCTCTCTCATTCTCATTGCTTTATCACTTTATTCTTTAGCACTTCTCACCTGGCCTAAACAAACCAACTGCTCTCTGCAGTTTTCTTCTCCCCACTCTAGTCTGCCCCATATGCTGATTATAGGACTCTCTTCCCAAAGCACTTGCCTGATCAAAAAGCACAGCTTTGATTACTTTTTTTACTTTAAAAAATACATACATACATACATACATACATACATACATACATACATACATACAAGAACATAGCAACTGTCACCAGTCTCTTGCAGCTTCTAAGCTCAAACTCTGTAAGGTCCTTTACAATTTCTATCTCAAACCCTGTCTTGGGCTGTGTACTCCCAAGCAGCTGAACCTCATCACTCGACACAACTTAGAAATCTTATTACCTCAATTTAATAACTGTTAATTAAAAGGGGGGAAAATGGGATTACTTACTAATTCTCTCTTTGCCTCTTCAATTTTCACTTGAGCAAGAGATGGATTCTTAAAAAGAAAAACAAAACAAGGAAAGGTTTGATGAAAAGTTTGCACAGGCTCTTGTTTGGATACTGTTGGTACCATCTGGGAAGCTCTGAACCTTCAGGAGGAAGAGGTCACTATAGGTGAGGTTTTGAAGTTATAGCTTTGTTTTAGTTTGGTGATGAAACACCACGACCAAATAGCAAGTTGGGGAGGAAAGGGTTTATTTGGCTTACATTTCCACATTGTTGTGCAACACTGAAGGAAGTCAGGACAGGAACTCAAACAGGGAAGGATCCTGGAGGCAGGAGCTGATGCAGAGGCCATGGAGGGCTGCTGTTTACTGGCTTGCTCCCCATGGCTTGCTCAGCCTGCATTCTTTCTTTCTTTTCTTTGGTTTTTTGAGACAGGGTTTCTCTGTTTAACAGTCCTGGCTGTCCTGGAACTTGCTTTATACACCAGGCTGGCCTTGAATTCACAGAGATCCCCCTACCTCTCCCTCTGGAGTACTGGGATTAAAGTAATGTGCCACCACTGCCCAGCTCAGCCTGAATTCTTACAGAACCCATGACCACCTGCCTAGGACAGCCCCATCCACAATGGGCTTGGCCTTCCCCATCAATCACTAATTAAGAAAATGCATTACAGCCACATCTTATACAGAGGCGTTTTCTCAGCTGAGGTCCCCTCCTTTCAGATGACTCTAGCTTGTGTCAAGTTGACTGTTCAGTACAAGCCTGGTCCTTGGTTTGTTCTCTGCTTCCAGGTCTGCCATGTTGTACTGACCTGTTCCGCCTGCCTTTCCCACCACTATGGCTGAAACTATGAAAATACGAGCCAAATGAGTCTTTGCTCCCTTACGTTGTTTCTGCAAAGTGTCATGGTCACAGTGACACAAACAAATACAGGAGGCAGTTCACTCAAGGAGGAAAGCCACTTCACAGTACAATCCTTCACAGGGCAAGGGAAATTAGGGGGAGCAGCCGGCATACAAAAAATACCATTTGGGGAGGGAGTGTTAAAGCAGGATCTTGATGGGAAAAATTGTTCACTAAGTAATGGCACTTGCTGCCAAACCTAGTGACCTGAGTGGAATCCTTAGTAAGGGAACCAACTCTGGTCTTCACATGTACTGTGGCACCCACACCCAAAATAAATAAATAAATAAATAAATAAATAAATAAATAAATAAATAAATAAATAAATAAATAAATAAATAAATAAATAAATAAATAAATAAACAAGGCGCCCACACCATAAATAAATAAATAAATAAATAAATAAATAAGGCGCCCACACCATAAATAAATAAATAAATAAATAAATAAATAAATAAATAAGGCGCCCACACCATAAATAAATAAATAAATAAATAAATAAATAAATAAATAAATAAATAAATAAATAAATAAATAAATAAATAAATAAATAAATAAATAAAATAAGACAGAACCCAAATTGGCCTTGAATTCAAGATCCTCAACCTCCCAAGTGCTGTGATTAGAGATGTGGACTACCATGCCAAGCCTACCACTGTCTTTATTTTTTGTTATTCTGATACAAATCTTTATTCTGTAGCCTAAGCTGTCTTACACCTCACAGTGGTCCTTCTGCCTCAGTCTTCCAAGCATTCAGGTTACAAATGTGAGTCACAACCTCAGTTCTGCCACTGATTTTTCAATCCCTGAAACACAAACCCACTACGCTCTGATCACTTAGTGTCTTTAGAGGAAAGTCAGAAAACGTGACTCTAAGAAAACCCATAATAACAATTACCGGCATTAAATCTAAATAGGACTCCAATTTCTTCTTCAGGGGTATCGTCTGCTGTTTTAGTTCTGTGAGTTTCTGGAAATGAAAAGAGTTTTACAGAACAGAAATATCCACAAAACTAGACAGTGTGCATTTCTGATAAAATGCAATAAAGCATTACTATTTAGGTATTTATTCATTTGTGGTGCTAAGGACAGACCCTATGGCTTCCTAAAGGTTGGCAGGCAATCTACAACTGAGCTACACCGTCCAATCCACAGGTACTTTAAATAAGAAATCAAAGAACTTCAAGTAGAATATCTTATCTCTAATAGAAATAATACTTTTCTAAAATGTTTAAAATACATTGCATTCCTACTTACTCAGTATAGGACTATAGAGACTAGCAATATAGTTCAGGGATAAAGACACTTGCAGGCAAGCCTGGTGAATTAAGGTTTTTCTGTTTTTGTTTTAATTGTATTTTATTTTATGGTATAAGGTTTTTGTTTGTTTTGTACCTTTTTTTAATGTACCCTTGGAGGTCAGAATAAGGTACTGAATCCTCTGGAACTGGAGTTACAGATGGTTGTGAGCCACCGTGGGGATGCTGGGAGACAACCTAGGTTCTCAGCAAGAGCACAAGTGACCTAACCACTTAGCCATCCCTCCAGGCGGTTTTGATTTTTATGTTTATTTTATGTGTATGAGTGTTATGCCTGCATATATGACTGTGAGCCATATGTATGCCTGTTGCCCACAGAAGCAGGTGCTAGGTCCCCTTCAACTGGAGTTACAGATAGTTGCGAGCCACCATTGTGGGTGCTAGGAATTAAATCTGAGCCCTCTCAAGAGCAGCCAGTGCTCTTAATTGCTGAGCATCTCTCTAGTCCCCTGATGAACTAAGTTGGATCCTTAGGACCAATGTGAGGGAAAGAAACCAAATTCCTCCAAGTGGTGTGCACTGTGTGGAGGCCGGAGGTTGACAATGGGTGCCTTTCTCAGTCACTCAACACCGCTGTTTTTTGAGATAGTGTCCTTCAGTAAATGTGCAGTTCACTGAGAGGCTAGACGACCTGGCCCAGGAGTAACCAGCTCCTTATGTCCCCTGCAAACCCTTACCTACACTCCCCAGTGTGAGAGGAGAAGGCTGTCAGTGCCTGACAGGAACCTGGAACTGCTGCTCAGTAGTTATGTAAACTTGGGAAAGTTACCTATCTTCTCCATAGTTCCTGATAACACAGGAACTGGCCGTCCTTAGTCCCTAACTGAGGAGTTACAGACATGTGCAGCCATCCTCAGCTTTTACTTGGGTGCTGGGGATCCAAACTCACGTAAGCACTTCACCAACAACTGAGCTGTCTCCCTCACCCTGGGACCTGCATTTCCTACTATACACTTGAGAACACAGTAGAGGGCCCTCAGCAGAGTAGAGGGCCCTCAGCAGATACTACCCTTGGATCTTAGCCTTCAGAATCATGAACAAAACAAACTTCTATTTTGACTGCTCATATATTATCCAGTCTGTGGTATTCTGTTACAGCAGCAAAAGACAGACTAAGACAGGAAGCTTACCTCTGAAAGTGCCACTAGTGACCGATGAGACAGAGACGCATCCATGCCTCTGGCTGAAAGTTGCTCCTACAATATGAGGAAAAAGAGTTCTGTTGAAAAATCAATTTGAAAGCAACCATCATGAACATTTTTCAACATGCAATAAAGAATGCTACAGATCACAAATTAAAAAGCACACATGCATCTAAGCTAGTTTATGTTACTTGTGAATCCTTTTCACACTTAGATGTGTGGAGAAGAGGGGTGCCGAGTGTAAGGGTTTGAACGCTCGACTTGTGAACCTGGAGTTGCTGCTCAGTAGTTGCATACCCTTGGGGGGTTACAGACCTTCCCTGTGGGCTTGTCATCTACCGAAGGGACTGGTACACTTTCTACCCTGAGGACAAAGGTCTAAAAGGCTAGCTAGATACAGTTCTTCATACACACCTCTGCAGCTTTGATTCCAAACCTGAACTCCGCTGCCTTTGCCTTCAGGAAGTCCATGTTCTGAAGACGACTGTCAACTTTGGCCCTTTCCACAGACAGATGCAGCTCTGCCTTCTTGAGATCTCTTCCAAAAGTAAAATTAAAGCGTTTTTTTCTTCTCAGTAAAGGGTTGTTTAAAAAAACAAGAAAACCAACGCCCTCTTCAGGGATTTAACTCTGTCTTGGCCAATATAGATAAGCTACTTGCCAGCTATCCCACAAGTTGTACATCCCAGACTACAGTGCATTCTGTAGGGCATTTGCCCCGACATGCTGCCAATGTGGGACTTTTCTCAAGGAACATAAAAATATTGGCATTAATCTATCCTTAAATTATTCTTGGACAAACTAAACCTGCCATTCAAAAAAGTGGTTTAATATATATCCTAAGCCAATTTGAAATACAGGATCCCAAAGACCTCTCTCTATATGTGACCTGACACAGTGTCCAACACATACATTTTCTTTATTTGGTGAGTACATTTGTATGTCACCAAATTCCTCTGCATTTACATAAATGCTATCCACCGGTTCTAATCTCTGGGGCAATAAGAATCTAAAGGCGCCGGGCGGTGGTGGCGCATGCCTTTAATCCCAGCACTCGGGAGGCAGAGCCAGGCGGATCTCTGTGAGTTCG